AGTGCGTCCACAAGCCCATCCTCACACACTAGCGGGTCGCGATCCCTCATGTGGCTTCCATTTTGTACTCCTTCACCAAAGCAACCAAAAGGAGATTATTTTGTCATTGCTAAGTCATTTAGGACAATTTCACCGTGTTATCTTGGCCTCTGAATCTGAAAGTGGCAAAGCGAGGAAGCTTTATTGATGCAGCGCATTTCATACGCGAGGTCAGTGTGCGTCACATAGCTGAAATACAACAATCAAAGGCAACAAGGAAAGGCAAAATACGACATTTCATCTTATTCCATTTGTGTGCAGCATAACAGCAAAATGCTGATGCACCATGTTTGCTCTGCTTTTGAAATACTTTTGTCTCTGTATTTTATTTTTTTTTTCCATTAAAAACTCCAGAGAAATCAAGTCTTGAAATGCGTGCAACGAAGACAACAGCCAAATCGTGTATGCAGATTTTGCTGCGGGATAGGATGCGCTCCGGCTCATACAAGTCACACACGAGTAAAACAAAAGTGAAGTCAAAACAAACAAAACGCAACTTTGCTAACAGGTGCGCTAAATGTGATTCTGCTTCGGGTAGCTCGCGCTGTCATCTGGCTTCCATTTTGTACTCCTTCACCAAAGCAACCAAAAGGAGATTATTTTGTCATTGCTAAGTCATTGAGGACAATTTCACCATGTTATCTTGGCCTCTGAATATGTAAGTGGCAAAGCAAGGAAGCTTTATTTATGCAGCGCATTTCATACGCGCTCAGTGTGCGTCACATAGCTGAAATACAACAATCATTTCATCTTATTCCATTTGTGTGCAGCATAACAGCAAAATGCTGATGCACCATGTTTGCTCTAGTTTTGAAATACTTTTGTCTCTGTATTTTATTATTTTTTTTCCATTAAAAACTCCAGAGAAATCAAGTCTTGAAATGTGTGCAACGAAGACAACAGCTAAATCGTGTATGCAGATTTTGCTGCGGGATAGGATGCACTCCGGCTCATACAAGTCACACACGAGTAAAACAAAAGTGAAGTCAAAGCAA